GCTAGACAAAATGCCAAAAATTTACAGTTACCGTCGCTAGGCAACGACTCGGTAAGCGACAGTAAAGCAGAAACTGAAAACGGACTACGCATATTTTGCTTCGCATTCCGGCAGATGTATGCACATTGCACATAAATTCGAAACGTGAAGTTAGAAATGAAATTTAGTACTTGTACTTGTAATGACATGCATAAGAACTGTGCTAAATTTTGGACCGATCCGACCACGCCCACTTCTATACCCAATGAACAGAGAGAGAGAGACGCTACAGCCGAACCAGCCCGACAATAAAAAATACCCTGTACTCCAGCAAAAAAGAAAAAAATATTTTAAAATATCTTCTAAACATAATTTATAAATAAATGTATCTAATTAATAAAAAAAAAATATATATATATTTAATCCTTGCTTGTGAGTCTGTTTACGTGATGTCCCCAAATATTTAATATTTGTTTTATTTGCTTTATATGCGAGTTGAAAGCCTTATTTCTGTATTTTGAAATCGTTGAATACCAAGTAGTATATCTAGCAATTTTGAATTTGTAGCCCAAAATTTGAAATCGATCGGACAAAATTTATAACACAAACTTTTTATTTGAAAACAAGAAAGGAATGCTAAAATCGAGCAGGCTCAACTCTTAATTACCCTGTACCACCCCACAAAAAAGAAATTAAATTAATTAATTAATTTAATTAAATTAATTAACTAAATTAAATATAAAATATTCTATACATACATTTACATCATGAATCGTGTGTATGCGTGTTTGTGTACTTGTGTGTATGTGTGCATTGGGCCTGGTTATATGGCTATAACTTTTTTTCTGATCAACCTATCATAATGAAAGTTGGTATACGGATATATATATCGCAAACTTAATGTGACCAAATTTTAGTTCAAAATTCCAAGAATTACGGGAGTTATAGAAAATCGTGAATAAGGTGGGTGTGGGGGGGGGGGGGGATCAGAAAAAATGAATAAACTCGTCCTTTCTCGGGCTCAGGAGAATCTAGATACCAAGTTCGGTTTTTCTAGCTCTTATAATTTCTGAGATCCTTGCGTTTATACAGACAGACAGACGGACATGGCTATATCGACTCGCCTTATCATCCTGATCAATTCATTTGAATTTGAATTGATAGATTTGGTAGTCACATCCAATTAGTGATTATATGTATATCTGTATATCAAGTTTCATTACAATAGGTTGATTACACAGAAAGTTATAGCAATATAACCAAGCCTAAGCTCTGTCCGCAGCTGTATTTGTTGCTGATTTGACATAATTATTTAATGCACACATATGATGTAATGTAAATGCAAATTTATGTATGGAATATTTTATATTTAATTTAATTAATTAATTTAATTAATTAATTTTTTTTTAATAAATTTTTTGTGGGGTGGTACAGGGTATTTAAGTGTTGAGCCTGCTCGACTTTAGCATTCCTTTCTTGTTTTTTTTTTTTAAATTTCTATAAATATTCTACACACATGTACAGAGTATTTTAATGTAGTATTTTATTCCACTTGTTTTATTTCTTCCGCCAAATAAAAAATGCCAAGGCCACGCTAAATCAGTGCTAGAAGCCTAACGTTAGAGAAAGAACGTTAAAAGTAGAGCTGAAATATATGAATACCCAACTGCGCGCGACACATGCTTTGGTTGCCTTCTCTTTCTTTGGCGACACAGTGGATATTTCTCAGAGGATATTTATTAAAAAGTAAACAAATTTTTAAGTGTTTTGAAGAATTTTCGATAACAATATATTGTCGGAAAAAAAACTCAAACTCGTACTTTCTCTTCGGTTATTCTAAGACTTATACTTTCTGAGATCTTTGAGTTCATACATATGCAGCAACAAGTTCGCTCTTCTTCTTCCTCTTTTTGCTGCTGCTATGGGCGCATATAACTCAGTGACGGAAGTTTACCTGGGTACAGGGTATTACACTGTCGGGCTTGCTCGACTGTAGCGTTCTCTCTTGTTATACCCTGTACCCGTAGGGTAAAAATGGTATATTAAGTTTGTGCAAAGTATGTCCGTCCGTCCGTTTGTCCGTCCGTCTGGATGAACGCAAGGATCTCAGAAAGCTGGAACAACCAAAGTTGGTATGTAGGAGAATCTCCTAGGTCCGAGAAAGGACAAATTTTTTTATTTTTAATTTTCCATCCCTTTCTACGCTACAGAATTTCGTCAATAGCGTCCACATTTCAAATGCTACCTAAGCCAAACTTTGCACACATAATTTATATATAATTATCTACTGTTGTTCAAAATTTTATTCAATTTGGTCAGTAAACACCCACCCCGCATATAACTCAGTGACGGAAGTTTACCTGGGTACAGGGTATTACACTGCGGGCTTGGTGGAATGCAGCGTTTTCTCTTGTTATTGCTAGACAAAATGCCAAAAATTTACAGTTACCGTCGCTAGGCAACGACTCGGTAAGCGACAGTAAAGCAGAAACTGAAAACGGACTACGCATATTTTGCTTCGCATTCCGGCAGATGTATGCACATTGCACATAAATTCGAAACGTGAAGTTAGAAATGAAATTTAGTACTTGTACTTGTAATGACATGCATAAGAACTGTGCTAAATTTTGGACCGATCCGACCACGCCCACTTCTATACCCAATGAACAGAGAGAGAGAGACGCTACAAGCCGAACCAGCCCGACAATAAAAAATACCCTGTACTCCAGCAAAAAAGAAAAAAATATTTTAAAATATCTTCTAAACATAATTTATAAATAAATGTATCTAATTAATAAAAAAAAAATATATATATATTTAATCCTTGGGACTGTGTGTTTGTGAGTCTGTTTACGTGATGTCCCCAACTATTTAATATTTGTTTTATTTGCTTTATATGCGAGTTGAAAGCCTTATTTCTGTATTTTGAAATCGTTGAATACCAAGTAGTATATCTAGCAATTTTGAATTTGTAGCCCAAAATTTGAAATCGATCGGACAAAATTTATAACACAAACTTTTTATTTGAAAACAAGAAAGGAATGCTAAAATCGAGCAGGCTCAACTCTTAATTACCCTGTACCACCCCACAAAAAAGAAATTAAATTAATTAATTAATTTAATTAAATTAATTAACTAAATTAAATATAAAATATTCTATACATACATTTACATCATGAATCGTGTGTATGCGTGTTTGTGTACTTGTGTGTATGTGTGCATTGGGCCTGGTTATATGGCTATAACTTTTTTTCTGATCAACCTATCATAATGAAAGTTGGTATACGGATATATATATCGCAAACTTAATGTGACCAAATTTTAGTTCAAAATTCCAAGAATTACGGGAGTTATAGAAAATCGTGAATAAGGTGGGTGTGGAGGGGGGGGGGGGGGATCAGAAAAAATGAATAAACTCGTCCTTTCTCGGGCTCAGGAGAATCTAGATACCAAGTTTGGTTTTTCTAGCTCTTATAATTTCTGAGATCCTTGCGTTTATACAGACAGACAGACGGACATGGCTATATCGACTCGCCTTATCATCCTGATCAATTCATTTGAATTTGAATTGATAGATTTGGTAGTCACATCCAATTAGTGATTATATGTATATCTGTATATCAAGTTTCATTACAATAGGTTGATTACACAGAAAGTTATAGCCATATAACCAAGCCTAAGCTCTGTCCGCAGCTGTATTTGTTGCTGATTTGACATAATTATTTAATGCACACATATGATGTAATGTAAATGCAAATTTATGTATGGAATATTTTATATTTAATTTAATTAATTAATTTAATTAATTAATTTTTTTTTAATAAATTTTTTGTGGGGTGGTACAGGGTATTTAAGTGTTGAGCCTGCTCGACTTTAGCATTCCTTTCTTGTTTTTTTTTTTAAATTTCTATAAATATTCTACACACATGTACAGAGTATTTTAATGTAGTATTTTATTCCACTTGTTTTATTTCTTCCGCCAAATAAAAAATGCCAAGGCCACGCTAAATCAGTGCTAGAAGCCTAACGTTAGAGAAAGAACGTTAAAAGTAGAGCTGAAATATATGAATACCCAACTGCGCGCGACACATGCTTTGGTTGCCTTCTCTTTCTTTGGCGACACAGTGGATATTTCTCAGAGGATATTTATTAAAAAGTAAACAAATTTTTAAGTGTTTTGAAGAATTTTCGATAACAATATATTGTCGGAAAAAAACTCAAACTCGTACTTTCTCTTCGGTTATTCTAAGACTTATACTTTCTGAGATCTTTGAGTTCATACAGACATATGTACATATGTATTTTATAATTTTTTTGATGCTGACACATATGTACATACATACACGCATAGAATCACAAAAACACAATTCTTATGTAAATGTTCAGTTATAATCCATCAAAATTTTTCTTTTATAATATTACAATTTCATTAAAATTCTATAATTATTATACGAAAGAAAAGTTGTTAGAGAAATAAATTCACTACAGTACTTCGCCCACATCCGGACACATACATACATGTGTATGTATAACTTGGTGCCGGAACTTAGTCTGGGAACAGGGTATTTTACTGTCGGCCTTGCTCGACTGTAGCGTTCTTCCTTGTTTTAATATTAATATGCGTATAAATTACTCGTGAATAAACTTTTACAATTATAATTATTCGTGCAAATGATTATTCTTATCATTGATGACAATAATTGTTGCCAAAAATGCTAATGGCATTGAACAAATAAGTAAGTTTTTTATTTGAATCAATCTTAAATTATATTATCTTAAAATGTAATTAGCAAATTAAAAAAGATGCAAGTCTCCTTTATATTATACAATATATCTATTGCAAACAATTTGTTGACATACTGTACATTCGTACCAGTGTGCACTGCACTGGAATGGCCTTGAATGAATAGTAAAGAATAAAAGAACCGTTAGAATTGTCAGCTCTGCCTTCTCTGCATTGTTTGATGATCACTCAGCAAGTGAACGTCATAAAAATCGGTTGTGTTACCTTCTTCGGAACTAAAAATGTTTTACTTAATAAAGTGCGGAAAGTTGTACGTTTTTGAGAAAAAGAAATGTAAAATAATATCAAAAAACATTTGTTTAACAAAAATAAATGGAGCTACTTTTGAAGCAGAAATTATTAATTCCAGTGGTAAGTTGCATCGTAAATTTGGTCATACTAACATGCACACATACTTATATACATTCGTATGTACATATTTACGTTTATGTAGAATCAAAAGAACTTCTCGAAGGCCTATGCAAAAAGATGAATGAGGCGTTATACAGTAAGTATAAAATTTTTTTCACCGATATAAAAGAGTGGCAAACAAAAACTAATTTTTAATTAAATTTTTCCATTTTAGAGGCCAAGAGCAAAACCTCTGATGGTGGCGTTAACAAAGGAAACATTCAAAAAGATTCTGGTAAGGTATCTTGATTATTATAAATAAAGTTAGATGTAATACTAATATTTTAATTTATATATACCCTATTTTAGTTAAACAAAAATTGTCTTACGGCAGTGAAGTAAATAATAATGAAGTGGAACTTTATAAAGAATTAGGTAAGTAAATTACTTGAGTAATATTGCTGTAAGCAAATATTTCAAGAAAATTGACAGTACTAAAGGGAATTTAAATTTCAGAGGGCCAAACCTCTGATGGTGGCGTTAATAAAGAAAACATTCAAAAAGATTCTGGTAAGGTATCTTGATTATTATAAATAAAGTTAGATGTAATACTAATATTTTAATTTATATATCTCCTATTTTAGTTAAACAAAAATTGTCTTACAGCAGTGAAGTAAATAATAATGAAGTGGAACTTTATAAAGAACTAGCAGGTTATGCCCGTCTTAACCCGGCTCAATATAATGTTTCCAATTGTATTTATTTTGTGTGTGCATAACCTACTCATATGTTTTCACCTTATAAGTTACCAGTAGGAAGGCATTTAAGGTATTTAAATGAACATTTTCTGTTCTTGACAAACAATTGTTCAGTAGTCCGTTACATTTTTGTTCTTGCCAAACTATTTCGTTAAACGAACATAACCACTATAACTAATATTTTTTAAAGCTCGGTTTCCCCCCTTTGGAGCTAGAATTTTCCAAAAGCCTTTCTTAGGCTATGAAAGGATACTTGAGTCCAAATTTCATCTTTTACCGTTTGGGCTGTGCGTTGATCACCAATTAGTCAGGACAAACTGTTTTATATATAGAGATAACGCAACGTTTTAAGATAGACTATGTGCAAAAAAGGGGAATAATTATAAGGGTATATCCTAATTTTAAATTCACATTTGAGTCAATACGGTCACGCACAAACTCGGAATATGAAACACGGCACTCGTGTCAATGCCGTGCAGCGATGAGCCACGATCAAAAAGCACTGACAATTCTCATCTCAATTTGCTAGAGTAAAACTTTCGATAGTTGAAGCCACCGATACCATCAAAATATCGAAGTTTGAATGCAATAAGCAGAATATTTAAATAATAAAATCTAATTATTTATTGAGATCGATAAGAACAAATCATATACATACATACATCTGCCCGCAATGCGAAGCAGAATATACGTAGCTCCGTTATTCGGTTTCTGCTTTACTATCGCATACGCAGTCGTTGCTTAGTGTCGGTAACTGTAAACTTTTGGCGTTTTGCCTTTGCAATTAACATTAAATGGTCAAAACGAAAGAAGATGAGCGAGCCAACAACTTGAAGTTGTTGTTGTTGTTTTGTATTTACATGCTTCATACATATACAGGCATAGATACATATGCTTGTACTTATGTATGTATGCATGGGCACACATAGACACGAACTGTTCCCAACTATTTGATATTTGATATATGGCAAGTAAAAAACATATTGCTATATTTTAATCGTTGAATGCCAATTTGTTGATACATTACCCAAATTGTTCTTGCCAAACTATTTCGTTAAACGAACATAACCACTATAACTAATATTTTTTAAAGCTCGGTTTCCCCCCTTTGGAGCTAGAATTTTCCAAAAGCCTTTCTTAGGCTATGAAAGGATACTTGAGTCCAAATTTCATCTTTTACCGTTTGGGCTGTGCGTTGATCACCAATTAGTCAGGACAAACTGTTTTATATATAGAGATAACGCAACGTTTTAAGATAGACTATGTGCAAAAAAGGGGAATAATTATAAGGGTATATCCTAATTTTAAATTCACATTTGAGTCAATACGGTCACGCACAAACTCGGAATATGAAACACGGCACTCGTGTCAATGCCGTGCAGCGATGAGCCACGATCAAAAAGCACTGACAATTCTCATCTCAATTTGCTAGAGTAAAACTTTCGATAGTTGAAGCCACCGATACCATCAAAATATCGAAGTTTGAATGCAATAAGCAGAATATTTAAATAATAAAATCTAATTATTTATTGAGATCGATAAGAACAAATCATATACATACATACATCTGCCCGCAATGCGAAGCAGAATATACGTAGCTCCGTTATTCGGTTTCTGCTTTACTATCGCATACGCAGTCGTTGCTTAGCGTCGGTAACTGTAAACTTTTGGCGTTTTGCCTTTGCAATTAACATTAAATGGTCAAAACGAAAGAAGATGAGCGAGCCAACAACTTGAAGTTGTTGTTGTTGTTTTGTATTTACATGCTTCATACATATACAGGCATAGATACATATGCTTGTACTTATGTATGTATGCATGGGCACACATAGACACGAACTGTTCCCAACTATTTGATATTTGATATATGGCAAGTAAAAAACATATTGCTATATTTTAATCGTTGAATGCCAATTTGTTGATATAGTTATGTTGATTACATTACCCAAATTTGAAATCGATCGGACAAAATTTATAACACAAACTATTCATTTGAAAAAGTGAATAAATATTAAACCCCCAATAATAAAATTAAATGCGATATATCGAAAATATCGATACTTGTGTTGATATATCGTAATACATGTCGAATACAAATACATCGAAAAACATCGTTTGAGCGTTATTGATTATAATACTGTATTCGATTGTACACTGTACACATACATACATACAAATTTATTTGTATGTGTACTGTAACTGTAAACTTTTGGCATTTTGCGTATGTAATGAACAGGCGTAAATGATCAAAACGAAAGAAGATTTGCGAGCCAATAACTTGAAGTTGTTGTTGTTGTTTTAAAAATTTTGATTTGAAACCATAGAAAACTATTTTTTACAATTAAACAGCTATCGAACCACTGCATACTTGTACATACAAACCTATATATGTATATAGGAATGTATGAACGTACATACATACTTATTGATGTACATACATACATATGTACATGCTATACATACAGACGTATGTACGTATGTAATACATATGGTGCTGGCGTAATTCATAATGCGAAATTCTTTCTAAGGGGAGAAATGTCCCCCCTGCCCAACCTGCGTACGCCCTTGTAGTCCGTTGTCCTAAAAACCCCTTATGCCAAATGTACTAAACAAAGAAAAAATAGCATAAAAATGTTTATGTTATAATGTTAATAATTTTTAATTAATTAACATTTCTTGCCCTGTCAGTGCAAGACGAATGTACTTTTGTACATACATATGTATGTATGTATGTACATACATGTGAACAAATGAACATTCACACATTAGTGTCTCACATTTTGCTTTGGCTACTTCAACCGTTTGCACGCAACTACACGAACAGCTGCTTGTATATATGTATGTGTGTGTGTATGTATACTTAGTTGTCCCCAACTGTTTGATATTTTGTATTGTTTCTTCTGCCTGCATTTGTAAAATGCATATTTTAAAAATCGTTAAATGCAAAGTTGTAATTTTAGTTACGTAGATTATATTACCCAAATTTGAAATCGATCGGACAAAATTTATAACACAAACTTTTCATTTGAAAAAATGAATAAATATTAAAACCCCAATAATTCAAGCTCCAACACAAATTTCGAAAAACCGAGTATGCAGTTTTGTTTGTATTCTATTATATATATAGATTATAAAAACCAAATTTAAAGTTGATCGATTCAGAAATGCAGAATTTTCAAACAAACTTTGGAGCTACTTTCCCCCCCTTTGGAGCTCGAATTTTCCAAAATCCCTTCTTAGTGCGCATCTACACCATGATAGGATACTTGAGCCCAGTTTTCAGTTTCCTAGCTTTTACCGTTTGGGCTGTGGGGTGTTGATTGTGTTTCAATTTTTCCACGGAAACCCCCCCTTTTTCATGCCCCAGGAAAAATGGTGAAAAACCAAGTATACAGTTTTTCTTGTATTCTTTTGAGAGTATACAAACTAAGTTTGAAGTTAATTGGATGAAAATTGTAGATTTTTCATACAAACGTTGGAGCCCGTTTTCCCCCCTTTGGCGTTCGAATTTTCCAAAACCGCTTCTTAGTGCTCACCTACACCACTGAAGACAACATGTGTCCAATTTTCAGCCTCCTAGCTCTAACCGTTTGGGCTGTGCGTTGATTGCACATAGCTTTTCGTTTACCGAATTTTCCACCGGAAAATCATTATTATTCAGGCCGCAGGAAAAATATTGAAAATCCAAGTATACAGTTTTTTTTTGTATTCTTTTTGAGAATATACAAACTAAGTTTGAAGTTAATCGGATAAAAATTGTAGATTTTTCATACAAACGTTGGAGCTCGTTTTCCCCCCTTTGGAGCTCGAATTTTCCGAAACCCCTTCTTAGTGCTCACTTTCACTATAAGAGGGATCTTGTGTCCAAATTTCAGCTTCCTAGCTCTTACCGTTTGGGCTGTGCGTTGATTGCCAATCAGTCAGGACAAACTGTTTTATATATATAGAGAAGTTAGATGTAATACTAATATTTTAATTTATATATCTCCTATTTTAGTTAAACAAAAATTGTCTTACAGCAGTGAAGTAAATAATAATGAAGTGGAACTTTATAAAGAATTAGGTAAGTAAATTACTTGAGTAATATTGCTGTAAGCAAATATTTCAAGAAAATTGGCAGTACTAAAGGGAATTTAAATTTCAGAGGGCCAAACCTCTGATGGTGGTGTTAACAAAGAAAACATTCAAAAAGATTTTGGTAAGATATTTCGATTATTATAAAGTCGACTGTGTTACTAATTTTTACTTAAATTTTTCCACTTTTAGAGGCGATTGGAGCAGATGGCTTCGACCCCATTCTGAGTAAGTTAATAGATAAATCATAAATATAAGTTACAAATAGTTAAAACTGTTAAAAATTGCAAGAACATCTGTGAAAAACTAAATATAATAAGTGAAAAAGTTAAAGTTGAGTTTACCGCCTTTAATTATTAAAGGAGGAGGTGATGAAAAAATAAAACAAAGTCGTACTGCTTATATACATAGGGCAAATTTTCTCTAACTCTTAATATCTTTG